TATATGCTAATATTTTTAGCTCTTTCTTATTGTAATTTAGTTATGTTCTAAAATTTGACACTTAATTTTTTCAATAATATTGATTTTCCAACTTTGTAAATATTTTAAATATTTTACTTTCAGTTTTATGTCAATTTTCATTTTCCAATCCTCTCCTCTTTGAATATATAGTTTTATTTTTCTGGAGAGGTGTTTCAAAATATTAATTCTTTCATTTGTGTACATAGTTTCTTGAGTGATTGCAATGTGTTAATACATTGCTACCAACATTTAGAGCTACTGCTAGAAAGCATCCCATCGATGTTTCAGAATAACAGAATAACTGATTCAGCTTTTTGAGACTACAACAAAGGTTTGAGATTTTTATACACATCCATATATATACTATATTTATATGTCTTCTTTTCTTTTTCCAATTTTTTGTGTTAGATTTGTTTGTAGTAAAGAAGTATTAAATCTGGTACATAAATAATGTATGCTACTCTTCTTCGTTACTTCAGGCTACTTTCTTGGAGATGAAAACTTCTGTGACAAACTTCTTATTTTCCAATCCCGTGAGCTAATTAATATGTTTATATATTGGCATAAGTTGATGAATACACGACTATACAATTTTTAGCCTTAAACCTTTTGTTGATCTTATTCATCTCTTTTAAATTAGAAAATATTTTGTGTGTTCATTGTAATCTATCCAAATAATGATTTATAATACCATAATGCGTGATTTGACACCAAAAAACTACAAACACACTTCTTACTAAGAATTCGGTGTGCATCAAAGTTTTCCTTTTATTACACTTCTATTTTATCCTTTATGTCAACACATGAGAGGATTATTTATCTTATAACTAAACTTATACTTCAAGGTTTGTACTATTTACTTGTCACTTAGGTTCGGATAACATTTCACTGAAAGATTCTGATTGCCTTCCGATTTGTAGAATCCAATGATAGCATTGCACATCAACCCTATGAATGAAATTTGTTTTCTTTTCAGTTCTCTAATAGGTTGCTAAGCAACAATATGTAATGTAATTATAATATATGATAATGTAGTGTGTGTGTCATATATGAAGATTACATTTTCATTTATCATTTTAAACAATTAATCAAATTTGTAGGTTTATTGAAAGAAATAAATAGATATTTTGACATGTTAATATTACCTAAAAAATGACATACCCTTGCAATGCACGGGTGGAAAACTAGTTTGATTAAATAACTTTGAAATGCGACTTTTTTAAAGAATTAAAAATTAAAAGAAAAATTATATTTGTTTCTAAAAACAAAAAAAACTTAAAATATTTTTATTTAGTTGGATAGTAAAAACAATACGCCCGTGTATTTTCCATATTAAGCTACTATTTTTGTTAATTAACTTAATCCGATATACAAAATTAGGCTTTGTTGACCTCTTTTTTGTAGGGACGACTTGACCAACAAATTCAGACTCCTCTCGCATTCAAGCAAGCTTTTGTACTGTACACTTAGACAAATTGTAAGTCGTATGTGGACTTCTCCAGAGTGAGGGAGGCTGCGCGCACATTCGACAATTAAATCAGGCTTTGTAATAGTAAATATTTGAGTGTAAGACATGCTTAAGATGTGAGCCATTTAAATAAAGGAGATTCGGAATAGAGAGAATATGGAGCATAATGAGAAATTGTAAAAGTTGTATATTGAGAGTATAAACTTGTATTACCTTTTAGTGGCACAATGTGTGAGCTTTTATAGTAAAAGGGAATGAATAAGTCGTTGAATGAAAAGATACGTGGCCTCATCCCAGTGGTTGATGCACCTCATCGAAGGTGTTAATTGTTAATCCTAGGCTCAAGCGCATATATTGTTATGATCTTTTGCAGCTCTAGACCTAAGTTATGGGGTTAAGACTTGATGTGTTGACTTGGTAGAATAGTTATTGCAGTGAGTTGTCATATTAATCAATCCTAGAAAAATATTCAGGAGATCCTCTACAGAGCCTCTGTCTGCCTCGTGTCATCCACAAGGGTTCGACCCTCTTACGGGCTCGACTTTTCCCTAAAGAGTTCGGCCCATTCATTAGGTTTCGTCAAAATTGCCATATGGGCAGAATGGCATAGAGTGTGGGTTCACTTGTTGTGTGGCTGCCACATAGCTATACTTGGGAGCCTCGCAGGAAGAACGTAATAGATTTAGTGTTTAAGATGAAATCATTATGAAAGTTCAATGACTAATTAAAAAAGAAAAGAAAATAACTTATTTAACTTAATCAATAGTACTGATGGGATTTAAAGGGATATTATATTGTAAACGATAAAAAGAAGTAAAAAAATTTCTTGTCAACACTATTTGATATGTCTAACATTACTATCTAATTTACAATAGTAAATATGCAGAAATTTGTTAGGCAGAATATGTGATAATATTTAATATACGAGGAACATAAAGGATATTAGGGTTCGTTTGATTGCAAAGATGGAATTTGAGTGGAAAGAAAACGAATCTCAAGGAATTGAATTGCCTAAAAATTGTTTTATTGAGAATTGTCAATTACCGTCTTTGATTGATATAATTTTCCACGTAAAAAATGTTGAAATAAAAGATTTTTTTGTGTTTTTTGACTTTATTTTACATGAAAATTGTTAATTAAAGGGATATAAATTATTGGTATTAGGGATAAAATTTATTTCCATTGCACAAAAAAAACCAAGAAAATAATCTATCTTTTGGTGTTCGTTTGACTTTGTTTTACATGAAAATTGCCAATAAAATGATTTTTTTTAACACAATTAGGGATAAAATTTGTTTTCATTGTATTAAAAAAAAAAAAAAAAAAAACCGGCAACATAGCCTAGAAAACCATGGAAATGTCCATGTGGCAAGAAAACCAAGAAAACAAATTCCATGAAAAAAATTGCCATCAAACACGACAAAAGTGGGAAAGTGAAATTCATTTTCTATTTTCCATGAAAATCATGGCCTTACTATAATAATATATTATAGAATTCGATTGTTTGTCATTTGCACCATGTTACGCGTGTGCGAAAGCGAGAGCATTTATGCGACACAAGCTTACATCTTCATAAAATGTGTTTATATATAATTAAACAAGTGCTTGCCTTGTCATTTTTCTTATATGGTTAGCATTACTTTAGCTTTCTCTACAACATTTTTCAACTCCTACGAATGTACATTAAGCTTCATTAATTTTTCATTTGCTTGGACAATTTTGCTCTTTGTACAATGTGGGATGACATCCATTCAAAAATTAGTGAATTTTTGGCAAGAAAATGAAAAAATGTCATTTGAACTTTTTTCCTTTTTTTCTTTTTTTTTTCTTTTTTTTTTTTTTTAACTTTTCCAGCTCAGACCATCATCCAGAATGTCATCCGCACTGTATCTGTAGCAGGATTGTTATTTGAATGTCATTTTGAGCATGTGAATAAACGATTTCAATGCTTTTTCTCAAAAAATGTGAATCTATAATTTTTCGAAACCATGAAATGGGTCACCCTCAAAATTAAGCCAATAATACCACCATTTCCAACAAAATTATATTCTATTTTGTTACTATGTTCCAAAATTCGTGTTATAGTAATACAATAATTAAATCTTTATTTATTTGGAAAAAAAAAAAAACTAATATGTATGAACATACCTTGATCTTAGTTTCTTTAAGGATGTTACAGTCAATAGATCCTAAATCCACTTACATCCATCTATCATTTGGCTTGCACACTTAGACAAATCGTTAGTAAACGTGGCCTTCTTATAAGATGAAGTAAACGACCGCGTGCACTCTAACAATCAAACCAATCACTTGTATAGATGTATTTGGGTATGGGACGTGCGGAAGACGTGCACCACTATAGTGTTCGGGCACCGAGGGTATGAGAGAAGAAATATGAGAGTAATGTTATTGTGGAATATGGAAAATTGCATTACCTTCAAATGACACTAATTATAAACTTTTATAGTAGAAAGTGATAAACGATTATCTTTGAATGAAAGATACGTGAACCAATCCTCATTGCCGAAGCATCTTCTGCTAGGTATCACTCAATTAATCATAGGCTATAGGATATTTAATGTTTCTGAAAAGTAATCACCCTATAACCTATAAGCCTAATCTCTTTTGACAAGTTGATTGTGAGGCTTCTACTGTCGAGATGTCACATCAATCAATTATAGAAGGATTTTGTACAATTTAAAAGACAGTGATTAATTGTTACGCATATTAAACCAAAGGGAGAAAGAGAAAAGAAAAAGAAAACGTTCGAGTTAAATTGATCAATTCTTTCTATCCTTGCCTAGTTGCCTTCTATGGTTGAGGCAGTGTCTAATTACTTAATGTTGTATTAAATGACGAGCCTAATAAAAAACACGTCGGTATTATTCTTCCTCAATGGTCTGAGGATTGGCAATCCTTTACCTATTCCACATATGAAAAAGATTAAGAAACAATAAGGTTAAAATATTGTTTGTTGTCGCAGTGCAATTAATGTTGTCCAAACTTATAAGTTAAAATTACATAATATTCTTGTGCCGTTCATGAGCAATGCTTTGTTTATAAATGCAACATCCATTTGAAGTTTTCTGAACTGTAAAAATCAAAAAATAAATTCAGAACTAATAGATTATTTCAAGTCCGTACACATACAGTTTATAGATTAAGAATAATTATAGTTGACTAATAAATAAGTTTGTTTCAAAATAAAATTAAATATCCAATGGACAATATTTAATTTTATGCTGACACGAATACTTACATCATCATCATCTCATAATCTTCCGAGTGGCATATGGTCCCACTTTTCTTCTCTTCCTCAAACTTTGACAAGTTCAAACTTTCAAAACCCCGCTTAATTGGCCAAAAGCATGGAAAAATCAATATTTATATTTTTTAAAATATTCGTAGGATTTATTTAATTCTAATGCTTCATTGACTGGCATTGGTTTGATAGTCACTATAAGACTTGTCTTAGAAAGGTAACGCCTTTTTATCACCATTCTCACGATAATCACACCACCCCCTCAATCCATTTTTCTCTTCTAGTAACCATTGATCATTCATCTTCACCATGGATATGACCGACATCTCGGCCGGCCGATCACTGAGACGAGAGCTCCAAGGACCTCGACCGACGCCTCTAAAAGTACGTAAAGATTCACACAAGATCAGAAGACCGCCCTTGCTACCACAAACTTCTCAACCTCAAGCGCCATCCAGGCCACCTGTTATTATATACACAGCCTCTCCCAAGATAATTCATGCAAAACCTAATGAATTCATGTCATTAGTACAACGTTTAACCGGCCAAGATTCGACTTGTTCTTCATCTATGATGAATTCGTCGTCATCTTCGGGTTTTCAAGTTCATAGTGATGCAATATCTCCAGCAGCACGTTTTGCTTCCATAGAAAAAAGCAAGTCCCCTGAAGGGAGGAAATTACTACGAGATTTTGACATGGATATGATTGAAGGAATGGAGATGAGCGCCGTGTTTGAGAGGCCGTCCGGCCAGTTTCCGGGCATTTTATCTCCTAATCCGGCTTCTCTTCCACCTATCCCACCAAATTTTTTCTCTCCACCCTCTGATCCTAATCCATTAGGGTTTTTTCATGACCTCAGCCCGGTTTTACACAGTAACAGGAATTATTTAGACAGCAGTTTATTGCCTAGTCCTTCGAATTTTGTTTCACCCCAAATTCCTTCTCCAAATACTTTAGACCTTTTCAATGTCTTATTTGACCTTTAACTCAATACGTGTCTTTTGGTAGGGGATTTTGACTTCAATTCTATTTCATCAACCCAACCAAGGTATAGAGAAAATGAGGGATATTGCCATTGTTTAACACAAGAAAACGAGATGAGATCTGATATCCAATTTTGCTGTTCATCCAATGATTGTGGATATTTCATCAATTTGATTGTTAGTAGTGAAGTTAACGAGAGTAAATTTGAGATGATATATTAATTATTGACGACATGTCAATAATTCATTGAATGAATAGCCATTTAAATAGCAAAATTTGACAACAAATCCCAACTCAAAGACATTAGCCACGGATTTAAAATCGGTCGAGGATAATCAGTCACATCAGCATTGACTGAATTAAAGTTTCATTAATTCTCTTTGGCTGAGATCTAAGTGGGGACTTCTCTCTCTCTCTCTCTCTCTCTCTCTCTCTCTCTCTCTTCAATTTTAGTTGAAATTAATTTTTGTGGGCCTCATGATGCTTTAGTTTGGCTCAAATAATTGTGTTTTGTCTTTGGTATACTCTTCCTCGGTCATGACGCATACCATTTGTCATGTAACCTCTTGGTTTGTAATATGCATCACAAATTAAGCTACTAATTTATTGCCTTTTTTCCCTTAATTAATTCTCTACTTATTTACTTGGTCAATTTGCTATTACTGAAAATAATGTTTGAATTCTATAAATTTGGTGTCTTTCTGCAAGGAGTTGTCGAGTTGGGTTCCTAGGAACTAAAATTTTCATGGTGTTGGCCTCGCTAATTGGCCCAGCAGGCCATGATGGGTCCACTCGACTGTTACGCCTATGGGCAGGTTAGAGCTAGGGTGGCAAAGGGGTGGTCGAATTTTGCATATATGTTCAGGCTCTCATAATAAAAGTTTATTTAATGAAATTTTAATAAATTCCCAAAAATCTCAAGGTGTAATATTGTTACTTGTTAGCTTCTCAGAGAGTTGAAAAAACTAGCCACCTACCACTATTAATTTCAAAGAAATAGTCCCCAAAGCTCGAGAGTTTTTTTGAATTGGCCCACAACATGGCTAATCTAAGCTTCCTTCTTGATCATGAACCTTTTTTTTCCTAAATTATTTTAAATATTTTTTTCTATTTAAATTAACACAAGTTTCATTAAAGAAAGAAAAGTTTTAACCAAAACGGAAATCCAGCTTATGAGATGATAAATGTCTTTCAGGGCTGCTTTTCTTATTTCGTAAAGGAGTTGTGCTAAACATCCAGGGACAAAGATTATAAAATATTAAAGACAACTTTCTATCTACCGAATACCCTTGTATGTTTGACTATGAACTTAGTAATTTCAAAGACGATAAAAAGCTAAGTTAGTGATTTATAAAAATAAAATTTCACATCATTTAAATGATAATTTATGACTAAGAGCTTCAACTATTTTTCTTAACAAGTTTGAGCTTTTTAAGATAAAATTCCAATGTTTAATATGGTACCAACTCAAAAATAAATAAATAAACAATGCAATGCAATTTATCTAAAACTCGAGCAAGTATTTGAATTTTGATATTGATGTTCTCATACGAACAATCATCTTATTGAGAGGTATTAAGGGTAAGAATCTCATATCATTTTAATATGGAAAATAACAAGATATAAGAGTTTGAATTATTTCTCTAGATATTTTTAACCTTTTTATATTGAATCCCATAACCGAACAACAAAATGTTTTCTTAAAATTCAGAAATCTGATTTGAAAATTTAACGAAATTTGGATGAATACTTTCACTTATACCAATCGTTTGGATTATTCTTTTTATATTATAACAAAAATTAAATATATTCAAGAGAAGCACTTGGTAACATCCTCCATAAATGTTTAAATTTCAAATAAATAAATTAAAATATAGTGTGTCTAATACACATTTAGAATTAAAAAAATAATAGAAGACAATTTACATTTCCCTTTGAGTTATAAATAAATTCTCTAATACGTTTTTCCTTTTCCTTTTTCTTTATTTTTTTTATTCTATTTTCAAGTTCAGCAAGATAATATCAATATTATTGGAATCATGTGTAATAAACAAGAAGGCACGATGCATTTATATAATTATTGAAACTTGGGATAAATGATAAAATTCGAAATTTTGGGCACCGTCCACTAGGATCAGGTCATGTCACATGTAAAGAAAATTATTTAGTTTTTCAACTCACTATAGACATTTTTCATTTTCATAACTAGTTTGACATTGATTATTTGTGACCAAATTCATCCCTTGTCAAGACCAAATAACTAATCACTATATAAATTTCTCCAAAATCCTTTGTGATCAGCTTTAACTAATTTATTGCCAGAGAATGAACGAATCTACATACCTTTAAGCTGAGTTAAAGGAAGTCTAGATAGAAATTTAGCTGCCCCAGGGCATAGTCCAGTGGTGCAAAGAAAAGGAGTGAAGTTATCTCACGCCTTACTAGCAGCCGCAGTGTGGGGGTTCGATTCCTGAGACATGGAATTGGACTCCTTATAGGCACAGTGTACAGACAGCTCTTATTCCTTGTCCTGTTGGAGCACATCCCGCGATTTAACTCCCTCACAAAGTTCTAGAAGTGGGGCGATGGAAGCCCTCAAGATTGAGGTTCAATATTTTTTTTAGATAGAAATTTAGCTTCCGTAATCCTTGATGGGACTAAACAAAATATGCATCGACAGATTATAGTCAACATCATACACTTCTGCTTCTTCCCAACACTTGCTGACTTGCTCGAAGATCTGTGCCACGTGTTGGGTAGGTCATTCCGGTCCCGAGTCTCTAGGTCTCGGGCTCATGTGGATGAGCCTGCTTGGACAATCAGCAACTCGTGGAGAGAGAGCCAAATGGCAGCACATCACCTAATTTTGCTTTTGTTTTTTATAAACTAATCAATAAGAGTAATGCTATTTAACATCGCTGATGTTAAAACACCATTTTAGACTTGATGGCTTGCTCGGTTGGCATAAAAAAGATGCAAGTCCTTTTGGTTCTTTAGGCTGGCCTCGCCGGGCGTCTGGACCAGCGTAGCTTATTTTAATACCTCTATTCTAGGCCAATTTGGCACGTCCTTGATCCTACTGAACTCTGGCTCCTAAAACTGCCGAAAATGTTTGTTGATGAACGTACTTTTCTTCGGGCTGCAGAAATAAAGATTTGAACTCTCACTCACATCAGACATAACTAGTTAGCATTTCTGCAATTTCTCATCTATCATGAAACATTAAATACCATTCCTGCAAAGGGAGGAGCAACATTAGATCAACTTGCAGTATCTTTCTGCAATTTGTATTTAAGGAGATCTAACTTATCAAGGCCTCGGACTATGAAGAGATATGCTCCATGAAATGCAAAGTACTGAAAAGCTGAAATGCACACACTGTAAACATCTCTAGGCACCATTCCACTTGTACCACCATGGCAACCTCCTTCCTTGAAAAATGGCTTAAAGCAGCAACTCCAAAGGGGTTGTCGTGTCTACTACAATACTGGAGAATTCAGGTAATCAAATGATGAATAGCTCAACACAACAGCTGCCAAGTTCCTAAGCTAAGTAGCACCATGCCCGTAATTAAGTACTAAAAAACCATCTTTATCAGAAGTCCTCCACATAACCTCAGAATAACCCCTCCATCTAAACTCCACTCCACCCCTACCTCACCAGCTTACAGCATGAAATGTTCTTTTGAAGAGGTACATTTTCTCTTCTTTCTTAGGTTTTCTCACAAATATATAATTGAGTTGCATTAATCAGGACGCAATTATGTCTACATCACATCTTTCAGAATGACATATGCATCTCCATTTATATAGTTTTAACACATAACATTTCTTGCCAAAAGCCTTACTAGAAATTAGCATTAGCATTTAAACTATATCTCCACTTGAGCATTGTTTTGCATCTGATGACCATCAGTCCTGTTAGACCTTCTATGTTCCCAAGAATAATAAGCCAATAACAAACTCTATCAATCATAATAATGACTACCTGTACCTCACAATAGAAAATGTCAATGGGAATAACAGAGAATTCCACAACATAAATATGGAGAGGCCAAGTGTACGACTTTAAGCTGGGAGCTAATAGTAACTTCAGAAAATGACTTATGAATAAACCCCTGATAGAAAAAACTTCCAACAACTTTTTCTTTGTAAATATCTTTCTCGTTAATTACTTTCCATCAATGTATTAAAATCACAGCCTCTAAATTTCTAATGTCAAAACAAGTCAGCATTCTCAACTCTGGCTGCTATAATTACCAAAATGGTGAGGATATTACTGTTTTCCAGCCTCCTGAAATAATATGTAAGCCCTCAACGTCCTCAATTATTGTAACTTAGCCCCTTGAAATTTCCAATCTCAAATAAATTAGCATCCTCGAATCTGGCTCTCCCATAACTACTAAAATCTTGAAGCTAGTACTAATCTTCAGAATTTGAAATAATGTTGAAAGGTCATAACTTTCTATTAGACAAGCTAAAGACACCGATGAAACTCGACTGCAAGCCTGCAACTGTACCTTCTGATCCACTGTGCAACGATAAAACACTAATCCAAGAAAATGAAGGCATGTTTCAAAAATAAATGAAAAAGTGCAGCAAATAGCAACTACTAGTTTATGTGTCAATCATACTTGTACAAGTATAGCTGGGGTTCAAAATTTTGCTGCATCGACTAAAGACAGTGAACTATTATTATCATGGAATACCAATTAAAGTAACAAATTACAGCAAAGTACTCACATCCATAAAACAAAAAGTTCATACTGTTAGAAAGCTGAATTAATCCGAGTGGAAAAAGGGCAATAGGTGAAGAACCTTCACCAAATTAAAAAATCCGCAAAAACTTGAGGTCTATAATCATCCAGTTTGGTTGAGTGGCAACGTGGAAGGCAGTGCAATGGCTTGAAGCTCCTTTTGCTTGAGATAATGATTCAAAATCGTAAGCCTAGCTGTCTCAAACGCAAAGTACCCTATAGCTGAAAAGCAGGCACTATGAAGAACTCTAGGCCCAATTCCACGAGTAAATCCAACCCATCCTTCTTCCTTCAAAATCTGTTTAACAGTGGCTGCAATGCCGCCATACATTGCAGCAGCAGCCTTATTCGTGACCTCTCCATGAACCTGCGTCATCAACCTAGTCTTCACCACATCCAAGGGGGTTGTCAACGAAGCTGATATTGCCCCTGCCAACGCCCCACAACAAACACTTTGAAATGGCTCTAAATTAGCCTTTTTTGTCTTACTCAAAACTGCAGCTTTCAAATACTCAAACGATGAATAACTCAGCACTCCAGCAGGCAAATTCCTAAGCAACGTAGCACTATACCCAGCATAAAGCCCCAAAATGCCATCTTTTTCCAAAATACTCAACAAAACATTCCAAGACCTCCCCTTTGCACCAGCCTGCATTCTCTGAGTGATCAACTCCTTTGGAACCATAATAGCAGACGACACTATATTCCCCATTGCACCAGCAGTCGGAGGAATCAATAAAGGTGGGTAGCGTGGAATTCTCGATAAGATTGACTTCCCAAACTCACAGGTCCCAAAATACACAGCAGAAGATGCAGTGGACCCGACTATTACTGCAGAAACCCCGCTGTAAAATCCAAGAATTCCCCTACTTTTGAAAGTCTTAACAATTGCATCAACTGTGCCATTATAAATTTCTGATGCCCCCTTTGTTTGGAGCTTCGTTTTAATAGTATCAAGTGGGTGAAGGCACACATAAGTGAATGCACCAGCAATTCCACCAGCAGCAGCACCAATTACGGCCCTTTCAAGAACCGACAGTTCCTTAAACAGAGCATGAACAGTTGGGGAGTCTCTGGTAGCTGGTTTTAGCCAATTCTGAGAGGTGGGTTTATCTGGGTTTTTAACTTTTCCTTCAATAGAAATAGTAGTTGATGAAAATCTGAGATTATTACAAATTTTAGAAAAATTTGAGTTGTTCTCCGTTTTGGATTTAGGGTTTGGAGCGGAAATGACAGTGTTGAGGTGATTGAAAAGGGAATTGAAGTCATTGAGAGTGTGGGGAGAGAGTGAATTCGGAGAGAAGAGACTGAGAGATTTACCGATTGCAGTTTCCATTGGATATTATTTCTAGAACTCAAATGGCTGCTCTGCTGTTGCAGCTCAGGTCATGGTGGTTGAAGGAGAGATTGGCTTGTGACGTGTTTGGATCCATGGCGGCATGGCGCAGATAAGGAAATGGCGAATTTTCAAACTTTTGTGTAAATTGCAGATATTGACCCTAACCTTCTCAGAAAGTATCAATCTCATCTCAACCTTTACATGGCATCTCACTGGACATAATTTTAATAATTTAAAAAATGAATAAGTTTTAATAATGTTATGCTACTTAAGATTTTAAATATGATGACTACTATAGTATCTGACTATGAATATAATTTCTCTTTTCAAAAAAAAAACATGTAATCGTTGAAAACTCAAGGGACTGTTTATACAGACGTTTAAGACTTTATGTACTTCTGTGATATATTAGAAAACTTTGGGGCGAGTGTACAATTTTCTGATAATTTTACTTTAATCAATAATAATTTTTATATTTCATATCCTAAGAATTCTATTAAAAATGAGATGTTAATTAAATTATCATGAAAAAATTATTTTAGTATAAATCATATTTTATTAAAAAAAAATTGTTTAAATTGTGCCACATTTATGTGTCATTCCTATTATATCATTTGACATATGAACAAAGATATGTCACGTTTAAGGTAAAGATAAATTGTGTTACGAGCTGTAATTTTTTGTTTTTATTTGAAATGTTAATTTTTAGTATTGAAAATTCAAAAGTTCAATTGAGCCCCGTTTGATTCCTATTTTTCAGTCACAAAAATGAAAAATGTGACCGTTATCCATCACATCAAATCATCATATTTGACTTTCTATCTCTTATGTGGGTCCCATAACGACTATGTTTTTCTTTCTCATTTTTACGAAAATGGCTATCAAATGGAGCTTGAATATAAAAACAACTTTCCTTCCTTAAACGATGAATTAGAAGTTTTTCAAAGAAATCTAAAACATCATAAAGAAGCTTTTTTTTTTTTTTTTAATCATGAAGTTCACATTGATTTTAGTGAATATACCTTTGATTTAATCAAAACATCTTTTGTCATGCAAAAAGTAATTTCAAGCTTTAAAAAACGTCCTCGTGTGAACACACTCTATGAGGATGAACGAGAAAGTCATTTTACAAAGTCGAGTGATGAAATTTTATTTTTTTTTCCTTTTTCGAAGGGGACAATGACAAATGTAACCTCAAGCATCGAGTCAAAGAAGTCAATATCAATGTTCCAACTCAGCAAGGGTCGAATTAACATGGTACAACCCACTATATTCAACTGGACCTCATTCTATAGACTATAGGGTTAAGTTAAACTTAAATAACACATAATTAATAAATTGAACTTCCAATTTAGTGACAAAAAGTGCAGTTCACGTTATGTAAATTTAATCAAATCTATTTTACCAGCTTTTGATGCCTATTGAGAATCTTCCGAGTTTGCATATAAAAATGTAACTGTTTCGCGCGGGTTAACCGCTAACAATTAAAAGGGATCAGACGATTGTGTAAAGGACAAACCTCTTGAGACAAAATCCCAAAAATGGGTGTTCTTTTATTGGCGATGACTTTACAATTGGAAATCAAAAACAAAATGTCTCAAAGGGGTGCAAGCACACGAGTTACTGAAAAAAGTGTTTAAGACTAAAACTAAGGAAATTAAAATTACATGTTCTCTGTTCGAGAGTTTTTGATTCGGTCCTTTGCTCTATGTCTTTTCTCTCTTTTATACTCCATGGATGATCTTTTTTGTGATCAACCGCCTAAAAACTGCTTGATCGTTCTGCAACTGCCCACTTTTCTCATAATGGCTAGCTTGTCATGAAAACTGTCTTTTTTAACTGCTGCCATTACTCTTCGTCGTTCAACCGTTTTCGATTGAATTCCTTGAATCGTGGAACGTGATAGGGCTGCTTTAATAACTGCTTTGACAACTGCACTTCTTGATAACCACAACACTTTATGTTTGTTAAGACTTTGGGCGACTTGAAGATTTGGGCGATAATAGAGTAACAGCTCTGGGCGACTGCATGACACTCCATTCGCTCAAATTCTGGGCGACTTGCAAACTTGGGTGATGGCGTTACTGCGTTCTTGGGCCTCCCTATTTGGGCCTTCATCTTGAATTGTTTGATTGGACTTCGTTCTTTGGGCTATCTGATTTGGGGATCCTTCAATTGAGCTTCATTCCTTGGGCCGTTTGATTTGGGTTGAATTTTTATGTGTCAACAATTACCCCCCAATATGGCAAAATTAATAATAATTATTAAATTTTGCCATATTCACTTTGTGTTTCCAGCAACATTCGAGATTTCCAAGAATTTCAATCATTATTTCCTTCCATAACTTGAAAATGTGCGTTGTTTTGCAAACCCTTATAACCCCCCAAACACGCCATTTCACTGCACCATTAAATCACGCCTCAAATTTTTTGCGTCTCTCTCCACGATTTACTTTCATCTTTTGTTTCCCTGCTACGTAACCCTGAAAAACTTCGTTCCATCTCAAATGGCTACTTCACAATCTCAAGTTGGCGACTCCTTTAGTTTTGATGACTTTCAGAAACTTCTGAATCGTCCATACATAACTCCGAGTTTTCTCGCGCCCGCCGATGTCGAACGCAATGAGTTCTACTTAGGTCATTTCTTCAATAATGCAGAGGCAGTAGAACAGGCGCGGTGGGTCAGCTGTTTCCTTGTACTCAAGGCCCTCCATTTCTAAACTCTCTGCCGCTGGGGCCACTTCGCGAAAGAGGTATTCGCACTTGACCTAAATCTGATGTAGCTTTCCGTAGGTAGCATGCTCGTCTTGTGGCCCATGGTCCTACTAAGGCACTTTTTGATAATGCTAGGATTTCTGATTTGTTAGAAATCTCTATTCGCCCCCCTACTTTTGATTCAACACTTTTTTCGATTGCTTTGAGTTTTTGGTCTTCTGAGTATAATACATTTGTTTTCCCTCTTGGCCCCATGTCTATTACTTTAAGGGATGTTGGGACCCTAGTGAATCTATCACCTTTGGACGATACCATTTTTCCTGGTATCTTGGTTTCTGGTGGCGCCCCAAAGTTTGGTAGAAACTATACCGTGTCTTATTCAAGCCTGCAAACCCTTCACAATCATTCAAGCGCTGAGCCTTCCCATACTGAGCGAGTGGCTTTTCTTCTAGTTTGGCTTTGTAAATATGTTTTGTGTGTGCCAAGCATAAAGCCCTCCCTGAGTTATTTACCCATAGCGTATGAATTGGCGCGTGGCAGGCCTTTAAATTTATGTTCTTTCTTTTTGGTTGCCCTTTATAGAGGCATGGTCTCTCTTCAAACTCAATTGAAGAATGATGCATCTCCCACTGGTAGTGGACCTCTTTGGTTCACTCAACTGTGGTTGAGATTCTATTTTTCATTGCTTGGTGCTCCATCAATTTCTCGCTCCTCTGCTAGTTGTTATGGGCTAGCCATGGAGCCCTTGGCTCCTGTAAATATGTCCAGAAGGGACATTTTTTTCATTCTTTTATTCTTTGGATTCAATCTCTTTCTTTTTTCCCTTTCCTCCTTTTTTGACTCCAGACTATGTACATCTCCCCTCCACTATAGACAGCGCGAGCACCTCCATGCTCATTTGGATCCAGTTTTTAACAGGGAGGGAGCTATTTCATGATATTTTAACTGGGACCAATGCCAAGGCAGGGGTAGAAATTTATGCTCCCCAATTTTTTGCTCGCTAGCTTGGTTTCGGCCAAACTTGGCATGTTCCTCCTTGCTATTCAAGGAACTTAATTGACCGTTTTCATATTATTAATAAGGCGGAGGCAGAGGTTATAGATGCTCGCAATCTTCTTTTAACCAGCTATTTTTCATTAGCCCCCTTCAATTCTAGCCGCGCCGTCCATCCTCTTTTTGAATAGCTCTGGCCGTCAATGAAACGCAGATTATTTGCGGCTGATGCCAATCGTGCCTTTCATTCACTAGACCAGCCGAGCATTTCTTCCCCTCCTCCTGTTTTAGTCACTCCTTTGTCCATCCGGAGTCCTTCTCCTCCTCGTCGCGCTAAACAGTCTGCTCGTCCATCTTCTTCTCTCCCTACCAAGCCTACTACAGTCAAGAGTGCCCCAAGCCGCAAACGGCCAGCCTCAGCATCTCCCATTCTGGAGGATGATGTTGATGATGATGATGATACCCCTCTTATCGTTAGGAGGAAGGTAATTAAATAGGTTTACTCACAAGCATACTTTTCCATATTTGAAACTTTTTTGTGTGCTGATGATTTTTTGGATTTTTCAGAAAAGTTCAGCCTCTCCTTCAAAGGCTTTGGCATCGACAGCTCCTGCTCCATCATCCTCCGCTGAGGCTGCTTCATCCAAACCGGTTGATGAGGGGACTACGCTTAAAGAAACATCTTCAGTCCCAGAATCCTCATCACAACCCATGGATGAGCCACCTTCTTCCCAGGGCGTCAACCCCCCAAACATCGAAGCAGAAGGTAATTCAGTTTTTTGATGCCTTACCTTTGCTTGTGCTATTGGTTTCTGATTTGTTGCTCTTGAGTTTTGCAGATACTCCTATGAGTCTGCCCGTTGTGGCAACATCTTCTCGCTCAGACAAGGGGAAGTCCTCACGAATGGAGGAATCATTGGTGGCAGACTTGGCTGAAGACATGCCATCTTCCACGATTGTTGATGAGGTAATCTTTGGTTCACTTTTATTTCTATCTTGTTCGTTGTAGTGAGAATTTTTAATATTGGCAATTTTCTTTGCAAGATGCTGATAAGATTGTGCGTTCTATCCAAGACTTATTCGCTTCCTGGGGGCAAGTCAAGACGTCTCGCCCTGCTTCATCTGATCGTCCTGCTGCTTCTTCAGAGAAAGATTTGAAGTTCCTCAATCAGTCGATATTTGAGTACGTATCCTTCATGGATATGGACATTGGTAGGGCTAGTGCTGCCTGACACAAGGATAAACTTGAGCATTTGAATGCGAAGTTGGAGCAAGCACTGACGCTTCCGTCGCTCAATCTTTTTGTCGATTTTAAAGCGACGCTGAATGTTATCCACTCCGAGGTCCTTTCTTTGCTGGCCAAGAATGCTGAACTAAAGGCT